TCACCGTCAGCGCGCGTTACCAACACACACAGCCAATCACTACGTGCTGGCACACGATTCCCACCCCAGCGCGTATCACCACTATACTAGTACCACTGGGGCTGACCAGGGGCTCGCCGAGGGCTAAATTATGTTATCGCGAAGCATGTCCCCAACTGCCTCATTGATCTGGACGCGTTCGCGTGCGCCCACTCGGTATGCAGGGAGTTTGATGGGTCGGGCTGCACCGGTGTCAATTTGGTGCTTAACAAGGTCGGTCCGACCCACGTCCGAGTCGTGTTCACTGCATACGTCGGCATACTCCCACAGTAACTCGCGCAGCCGATCAGCCTCTCCCTTAGGTAAATCCGCCCATGGTACATGTAACGCGTCGAGCAGGAGAACGACCTCGACTCGGGGAGTCGGGCCGACTCGCCAGGCCAGGTCCTGGTCACCCTCAGGACGACCGGGGTCCTCAGCCCAGAGTGCGAACACCGAGTCGTCAGAGTGTCGTGCGTGCAGGGGGTGTACGGTGGCTATCGGGGTGCGCCGTCGCAGTTTCGCTGGGGTACTGTGCGGGTTAAACATCCGCATAAACAATCGGTCCCCATCAGCGTTTACCAACGTGGCGGATCCCACGACCCCATACCGTTTTGCCAACTCCGGGTGAGGAGTCAGCATTACCTCCCCTGATGGTCGGAGCGTGGGGTCGGTGGGGGATGTTGCCACCGGCACCAGCATCTCGGTGAGCGGCCCGATGGTGACTGCCATCGCCAGGATAGCGGCCACAGGTGCGAAGCGGGGGCACGTCGGTTCTCGTCCCAGGAACGGTATCCGCTCGCCGTTGCTCTCCATGGTGGCGCATCGCTGGCGGGGTTGCACGTTGAGTCGCAGCTGTTCTAAGAGGTCGGTACCTGCGATACACTCGTGACACAACGCACTCGACACGTAGAACTCCTGGGTGCACACCTGACTGCCTATGCGGACCTCTAGGGTGGCTCTCCCCAGCAACCCCATTCCGGCTCCGCTCGCCGTGTGCAGCGCGCGGTCCGGTGCCTGCAGGTGACGCACATCGACCCCGATCGCGCTGCAGTGCGCTGCACTCACGAGCGAAGCCACCGCCCCCGTGTCCAGCAGGATTCGGGTACGCATTCCGTTTACCTCCCCTTCCACCAGCGACGTGGCCCCCGTGATCCCCACCACCAGCTCCTGCAGCCAGTCGCCAGGAGTCACCGTTTCCGTGGGCGTTGTTGCTGGAACCTGTGTGGAGATCACTCACTCGCCATTATTACTACAGCTTGTTTGTGTCGGGGCTACGTCGATTTCACCCCCCGGTAGTCCCCTCTCTAGGGGGGCCTTAGTGTTTGACCTTAGCTCTTGTCTAGCTCGGGCGACCTGAGGACAGTCCCTCCTGAGATGCCCTCGCCGATCGCACACATAACACGCCTGGGGGGGGGGGGGGGTGGCGGCTCCGTAGTGGGCTCTCTGCCTACTCCCTCCTCCCCCAGTGCGCTGCTGCTCATACTCTGCTTCTAGTCGGGCTATCCTTCCAGTTAGCCCTCCTACCGTGGAGTCTAGTTCCCCCATCTCGGATCGGATGGAGGATTGCAGCTTGGTCATATTCTTACCTACGTGGGTTACCTTACCGTCCATTTGGTCTACCCGGCCAGCAATATCTCCCATGCCGGTCTGTAACCCGGCAACCCACCCCGGGGTTGTCTCGCTGGGTCTCTGGGGCTCCCTTGCCCGTCCCCTTACTGCGATGGCGAGCTCTTCCTCCTCGTCGGAGAGTAGGCTCGCTACGGCGCACTCTCGTCCCCTCCCTCGAGGCTGCGTGCACTCACCCGAGAGTTTCTCGCATTTGCGCGCGCGCTTGACGAGGGTGTAAAAGGAGAGGCGTGCACCGTCTACATTTGGCTGCCACCATGGGGTGTGTGCCAAATAACGCTGGACCTTCCCGGCGGCGAGGCCCTCAATTATTTTTGACTCGTACTCCGGGTACGCGAGCTGGGTCAGCGTGCGTACGTCCTCAGCGTAATCTCGCAAATCCTCGCCGGGTTGGCGGCGGCGTGCCTCTAAGGCCGCCTGCGCCTCCTCCTCGTTATACGTGCCGAAGTGCACTTCGAGTTGGCACATTAGTTCTTCCCACTGTGTGTGTGCGCTTGCGGGCAAAGCTTCCACAAAGTCAGCTGCCCACCCATCTAAATGTAGCTCTAACTGCTGCAACGCCTCCTCATCTGACCACCGATTAACCTTTTTAGCCCCCCTGATGCTGCGGGCAAACGATTTCCATGATGGAATTCCTTTGCCCGTAAATGTGCATTTGATTTTAATCTGGGTTGGGGGGCCTCTTTCCCTTGGGGGTGCGGGGGATCGTCCCGTTTCTGACACCAATATGTGGGGGCCGTTGGCCCCCGGGGTCTCTCCCTCACGCATCCCCTATTTTGGTTGCGTTGCCGCACTGCCCTATTACCCGCTAGGGTTTCGCCGGCATTCAAACGCGACGCCCCTACTGTTACAGCCTCGCGCCGCGCTCCCACGCTGCGAGCATACGTACGCACAGCATCATCAATCAAATGCCATACACCGTCACGTACAGCTCTCGCACGCTGCGTGTGCCCGTCTACCACCCTGTGCAGCACTCGCCTCCACGTCGAATAACCACGTTACCAATGCGCACCCGTATCCGACACGTAACGAACGTACGCGCACTCACCCACACAGCTCCCCGCGGCATTCACTCACCACTGAATACTGCGTTATGATCGCGCACCTGTATCATACACGTAGTGAACACACGCGCACCCACACGCGCAGCTCCGCGCAGCACTCACACGAGGCGAGCCGCTGTATACGCAGCACTACACGCGTTCACACTGCTCGACGAGATCGCACGAGGCCACGCTTCGCTATTAATGATTTATTGTTTGCTACCTGGAACTGGTTGTTGAGTCAGTACGTATCGACGAGGCTGGCCTATCCTACTACCCCTGGACCTATTCCCTATTTATCGGCTTACGATACACTTTCACCTTGCTACTCATGGTTCGAAGTATTCGGCGTCCTGTGGCTTTTCCTCTATGCTCATCTGGACACGTCACGCGGACGTCCGGAGGGCAGAGCTGGGAGCCGACTTGAACGCAGGCCTCTTGAAGAGAAGTGAGATCAGAGATCTCCCTACCTTGCTACGCTCCCTTTTATCCTAATTCCCCGACTCAGGCCCCTCCCCACTTCCCACGTACTGGGTGCCTTTGATATGCTAATCAGATGTACCGCAAGTGCGGCGTTACGCAAGTGCGGCGTTAATTCTAATTAATCCCTTTCTCATGCATGGCGCCGTGCTCTAGCGCATCATGCAGCGGCGTCCATCCCCACGGCCTGCTAAACTATGCCGCCCCGTCCCTCCTCTGCCTGTCTCGTCAACCCGTGGGGGGTGTGTGTGGGGGGATGCGTTTCAACCGCGGTGGCCGAATGCCCTTTGCCGCGACCATACCATCTTAAGGCCGGTCGCAGCGCCGCGGTGCAACGTAGCGTCGGGGGAGGTCGTCCAATTCCCTGGTCGCCGGAAACCGTGAAAGTCAATCCCGATAAGGGCTTCTCGGATAAAGACCGGTCGATCAGGTGAACTCCCCTTCCAGCTCTATGGGTGGGGGGAAAATGCGTGCGGGTGTGTTCATGTGAGGTGAGGGGGATGCGGGGTCGGCTCCGTCGCTTGGTGGTGGCGAGGTCGTAGATGGGGCGCCTGCTGAACGGCTTCTTGGCGGCGGCATCACAGTAGTCCACATGTGTGTGGGCTAGTGAGCCCAAACTCCTCCCCATCTTTCGATTTAAAGCTTTCGTGACTGCAGGGATTCATCTTCTTGGTTCTTTCGGTAAAGTCACGTAGAAGGGAAGTAATAAAATATTAAAAATAAAACACAATAAGATAATTCTCACGACGTTTCGGCCACAACGCAAGCAGCCGTCCTCAGGTGAAAACCAGGCCTGTCGAGGCGACAGAGTCTGAATGAAACATTGTATTGGGCATATGGATGTTGTGCTGTTTGTTAGTATGCACTGTACTATTGACCGTCGTGTGAAAGATACTATAGCAATACAGTATATAATTTAATGTTGGGTTTGTCTATGGCAGTATATAGTACGGTGTAGACTCGTGTGATTAAGAGAATAAAGTTTAGATGGAAGCATATTATATAATTTTTATGACGTAGAATTGTAATGTATTACTTACTGTTAGTAACTCAGCTTATTGTAGAGTATAGTAAGTATACTGATGATACTATGTAGTTCATATTTTAGTTGTTTACGTGTTGGTTTTAGTTACTGCAGCTACATACTATTAACACTCCTTCCCTTTATTAATGCTACCCCTATCCCCTCCCTTTGATGCTGAATTACCACTATTCACACACCTGCATTTCCCATATCCTCTCCCTTTGATGCTGTTAATCCTGTATAATGCACATGCATATGTAGTACTAATCACATTCCTGCATTTCCCATAAATATGCTAAATTCCTCTTGATATGCAAATTCTTTTGTCAAGGGGCCCAGCTTATATATATGCTCCAAGCTCGTGTGCTGTTTCATTCAGACGCTGTCGCCTCGACAGACCTGGTTTTCACCCGAGGACGGCTGCTTGCGTTATGGCCGAAACGTCGTGAAAATTATCTTATTGTGTTTTATTTGTATTATTTTATTACTTCCCTTCTACGTGACTTTACCGAAAGAACCAAGAAGATCCTCCCCATCTATTGACCCAGGGGTTTTGAGGATCTCAGTCCACATAATTGTTGTATCTCCCTCCCCTTGTTGCGGTCTGTGCGTTAGACTGGGCTCTTGTTTTATTGCAAATAAAACACATGCTTTTCTCATCAATACATAGTTGGAGCAAAAAGAGAGGGCATATACAAAATATGTGGTGATTATGGTATCTTATGTGTTATATGCCACTTTAGTGGCTTAAGTTAATGACATAATTATCCCGTTAAATTAATCTCTCAATTGTTTTTATTTGATATTGCAGTGCCTCCACAAGTCAATGTCACTGTCATCATCAACAACTCTACAGCCTTGACGGTGTCATGGGTGGCTCCTATTTCAGATGTGGACTACTACGTCGTATACTTAAGTGAAACGTACAACACAACAGCAGTGATGAGCTTCATTGTGTACTCTCTTACAACACTAGCATTTACTGGTCTGGTCCCTGGTAGAAGTTATAACGCGTATGTAACAGCGTACAGTGGCATCAACTCCCAAACGTCAGACATCGTTACTAAAAGGAGCTGTGAGTAATTACCTCATTGTACATTCGTTTTCATTTGCATTACAGTGTGCAGCCGTGTTTACAGAAATTCGAATTTCGAATTTGTACGTTTTATTTTTGTGTGGAATTTTGTACAAACATTACCTATTCACTAACAACATAGGACATATTTACTAAGTTTTTTTTAATACAGAAATGAATACCGCAATTATGGAGATGCCTTTGTCAGTGTTTGTAATTAAACCGAGGAATGTTGTCACATCAGTCAATTTGACTTGAATCTTTTTTATCCACTCCAACTGCTGTTTCGCAGTTACATGGAAAGTCAATGCGATAATCGGTAACAAGACATTGTCAGCCATGACAGTCTCATGGGTGACTCGTGTTGCTAAAATAGACTTCTACACAGCCTACTTGTTTGAAACAGCAACTTGAACTTGGTCATGTATATGAGCTCTATACTTTCGAATACCACAATATTTATCAGTCTGAGCCAATGGTGAAAATAATTCTGCACTACGTGATAGTTACATCGAACGTAGTTTAATCTACGCATTTTTCGGTAGAAACAATACTCACTTTGAAGAGTGCTTGTGCTTGTTGTGGAATTATGATATCTGTAAATTTCCTATAAACGATTGTGTTCAATCCATGTTCCAATTTGCGACCCATTTTGCTGAGTGAAATTTGTGAAGTCCCATTGCACGAGAAAAGATAGCAGCGAATCATGATCTGGGAGATCAGGGCCCAATGTTGGCAAATAATCTCGCACATATAGGTCTTTTTTTAGAAGCATATGGCAATCATAAATGATAGCAAAAACGAAGTGGCTTATCGCGTGTAAATTTATAGCAGCCAAATACTCGAAACGCCTGACTTTTAAATCAGGAGGGAAAAACCAGAAGACCCGGAGAAGGGGTGAACTGGAAAGCATGCGCACCGAAGGGAATCGGGCCCAATGTTGGCATGCTCGTATTGCCAATAGAGCCGACAACTTTAATTGCCAACTGTATCTCACATGCACGCACATTCTCATAACCGAGCATCTGCAATGGGTCAGTTTTTTGTGCCATTGTGTTATGAATCAAATGGGTTTGATTAATGGCTATGGTAATATCAGAGGTGAGTTACATCTTCACCAATCCTGGATCCCCTCCCCCCCAACTACCCCATTCATCAACTTTTCCCCCCCAGATCCAACATCTGTCAGAGACTTTTCTTGCTTCACGTATTCCTCGGAGAATGTATCCTGCAGTTGGTCACTCCCCGATGGTGTATGGAGCATGCTGTACCTGCGAGTGATCAACAGCAGTAATCTTATGCAGGCCGTAAGCATCTTCAATGACAATTTCACAGTCATAACCATGTATTCTTTGAATGAAATAATTATGGATCCTCATGGAAATGGAAGAACAAATTTAACATTTGCCATGCTTGGACGTCTGAAGCCGAACACTGAATACTTAGTCAATATCACCACCTACTCAGGAGATCTTCCCAGTCAAACTCTACAAGGAAAAGCACAGACCGACATAAGCGGTGAGTTCATACATTTTTATTGGCACATGAGTGGTTGTGATTGTTGAGTTTTTTTAACAAATGTGTAAACAAATTAATTTGTCTCCCTAACATAAATGTGTGCAATGCATTTTGGAGACAATCAGGTGGTCTGGTCTGGTAGCAGGGGGTCCATGTCCAGGCATCCAGGCACCCATCCACTCACACCAACCTGTATCAGTCATTTTAATTTCTTAACCGTTTCCTAACTTTCTGACATGCCAGTAACAATAATTTCGTGCGTGATATTTTTCTAAAGAGTTCAAAGTTGTCATCGTACACACCCAACAACTTAAGTTAAGTTCTGGGCCTCGCCTTACTCACCTGTACCTCAAATTACCACCTGGTTAATTGTTTAAACATTAGCATTTTTATTTCTCCTGCACCTCCGATTTAGCATGAGTGGCTACGTACGGTGCAAAAGAAGTTCACCTTATATACGTACAGCACTGCAGAGGGAAAAGCGGCTGGTTCTGGGAGTGGCCTTATCAACTCCCTTGTGAGCGGTGTCACCTTTGAAATGGCTGCTCAATAAGAGCACATGCCATGACGACTGGCTGTTCAAAAACGGCTCCGATGGATTTTTGTTTAAGCCTCACTTGTTAAGCTGGAGCAGTGGGCACCATATTTAGGGTGTTGTGCTACGAATATAGCGACCCTCCCCCCATGCATTTTCTGACTATGGTAAATATCAGCATCTGAACTGTTGGTAGCTCCACCAGCCCTGGCTTCGCTATCCCGCACTGACCAGCATGGAAAAGTATAGTTAAATAATGTCCATGCCTTCATCCAGTAGTGGATTAACAGATGGCTCTAAATTACGACAGTCTGTGTACTTGTGCTTATTTCCAAAACTGCCATGTTCATGTGGGTAGCTCCTCCGCCCGTTCCGGAGACGGTGAACATCACGACGGTGCAGAACCAGGTGACACCGAGCAGCCTAACCATCTCCTTCAGCTGCAGCTGGTTCCAGAACACAAACGGCGACCTCAAGTCCTACACGGTCATCGTCAAGCAGTCCGAGGGTAATGCAATGGACGTGCCATGAATACGGCTCGGTCAATTAATTCATGCACGACTAAAATGATAGTTAACTTTCTTAGGGAATGAGATGAGACATTAGAGTGCTTGCTAAGCATACGAGAAGTAGCGGCATTAATAACTGCATCTTCCACAAATACCATTTTTTTTATCCAGGCCTTGGTAGCTATGCATGTCTGTAATCCACAACAGTGAAGGTGAGGATTGGTGAATTACTTTGTGTGGTGAAACGCCCTACCCATTAACGGCTTGAACCCGTAGCCCTCTTTTGCCAGGAGAAGGCATCTGTATGGAACGGTCTTGCCCTACGTGAGTTTTCTCTGGGTACTCTGGAATCCTTCTGGATGTAAACACTCATTAATTGACCGATAACACCTCAATATACAGACGACTGTAGAGCTAACTTGGGGTGGTAGAGGGTGAGAGTCTGGGTCTGAATTTGATGCCAGCTCACTTTCTGGCTGCTGCTGCATTTCCATCTTGCCTGTGGTTCCACCATTCACCTCTATGAGTCATTCTCCATCTTCGAGTTGAAATCTTTACAGTTATGAAAACCGTAGTATATGCACATTTTCAATCTGAAGTGCAAATTTTCAAGTGCAATTTAGTTCCACGTTTAAGGAGTATACCATTGAGGATTTATTTTGGAAACTTTACGTGCAACTTTTTATGAATGTATGTTAAAAAGGAATCCACCGATGAATGGATTCACTCTGTCTGATCACACAGAAACGAGCAGCGAAAGTCCAGAGAAGAGGTGGCCTCTGAGCACGTACTCAGAATATGCAAATGGAAGCACGAACGTGTACCAGGTGGACGATCGTGTCTACCCCTCCGAGTGCTCCAACTCCAACTCTGTCGTCAGTGTCAAAATTGGTACCGGCAGAACAAGCGGCAGCTTCTCTGATGGCCCCTTGAAGCAAAACACTGCCTACAGGTATGTCCCCCGCCCGCGTGAGTTTTTCTGTGAGCTTTTTTCAACGAATTAAAACCCTGCTGAAATGTTGAAACGATATTCCCGTAAGGAGGGTGACATCGCGTGGTTCCAAGAGCAGGGGCCTTGACCAGACCTATGTGGAACATGTTTGTAAATTGGAGAGGTTAAACCGGTGCAGTTTTCCTCAATCTAACAGTAGCCGATGAGAGAATCTGCCACGCTGCTCTGCTGCTAAAAAATGCACCTAGCCTGGCACAAGTGCCATGTTGTAAAGTTGCAATGACAAGAGATATAACAGGCATATGTGGGAGGTATGAACCCTCAATCACCTCTTCCATACAATGCCAATGGATGCATATTTCCCCACTCATCAGTTGTCTAATCTCTTTTCCCCATTCTCGTGTTGTTCTTCGACCTTGCCCATTGTCACCATTCAGGATCAGTTTCCGCGTCTACACGTACCTCCCAAATGCACGCTCTGTCCGCGCTGGAGGGGTAGCCATCTACACGGACACACGCTTCTCTCTACCACTCATGACATTAGTGGGTGGCATCGGGAGTAAGTATTCCCAATTACTGCCATTTAGCATAAGAGCATACCCAATCAGCTCGTGCACATGTGTATGTATGTTGAACTTATTTTCCACCCTACACTGCCAACTGTGCAAATTGGAGGTGCGGGGAAAGGACAACAAACTAAACAGAAAAATTTGTTCCAAAGAAATTAGTTTTAAATTTAGATGATTTTCAAGTGCATAGGTCCAGTGACTTTCTAATATCAGAAGTAAGAGCATTCCGGACGGCCACAGAAGTGCATCTGAAAGTGCCGCATGATGCGCTGGTCATCATTGTACGATGGCTAGCCAAAGGCCGCTGCTGCTGTGAGAATGACCGGAGTTTGCGTGATGGTTTATGCTTCGTGATGAGATCAGTAAGGTGTCACTTTTAAATTGTGGCAAATGCTTTGTATGAAATCTAGACGTGAAGTCAATGATGCTATGAAACTCGGACTCAGTTTAGACCATCTTGCATCTTCACTACAAACCAGTCACAATTGTACAGTCTCCAGCAAACCAAATGCCATTGGATCAAGCTTAATATGCTCATGGCTGAAGGCCTGTCAACGCTGTCTTGACCATGTTTCACCACACGTGGGAGTTGCGTGGCCATGTCTCACAACACGTTGGAGTTGTGTGGCCACGTTTCCCCACACTGGTCAATGTGCGTTGGTGAACAGGGGTTGAGGACAGGACCGGTTCAGACATCAGTCACCCCTGACATGAACTACATTCGGGAATTCAACTCTGGTAACCAGGTTCATTGAGCACTGAACTCATCAGTACGCACAATAAAAGTTAGTGTTAAATATTGACCATTTACAATGCGCATTGTTAAATGAAATTATTTAATCGAAACTGTTATTTATTGCTTTGGCCGGCACGGTCCCGGTTCCAGAAAGGGTGTTGTCAGTGTTCTGAAGAATTTTGAAAAAACTGTGAAAACTGAGCAGTGGGCAGGGATGCTGGACAATGAGGGGTAAGCAGCAGGGCCAGTGTCTGAGAGAGCAGAGCGCCACTTACTGCATGGGCCACAAAAATGGTTACGTGAGGCCATACACAAGTGGGGGCTGACAGAGGTCGAGAGAGGAGAGGAAATTAATGAGAAAAGATGACTGCTTAATGTAGAGGGGTAAACTTCTTCCAGTGAAGGGGCTGGGAGGGAGAGAAGAGAGTAGGTGGGCGAGTCCAGACCAGGTAGAGCAGGTGAGTGAGTCAGGGCCAGGTAGAGGAGGTGGGCGAGTGAGGACCAGGTAGAGTATGTGGGTGAGTTACGACCAGGTAGAGTAGGTTATTGAATCAGGACCAAGTAGATTATGTGGACGAGTCAGCAGAAGGTAAGTAGGTGGGTAAATCAGGAGCAGGGTTCTGGATTATGCCGACGAGTGGGGACCCGAGGTGGTGGCACCGCACACTGAGGGGGGTCAGGAATAATAAGTACTTTCACAACCAATATTGTTCACTAGCGGTAAGTACCTGGCATAGCCCGGGCCAAAAAGGCAGACACACACATGGACTTACACACAGACATCGATCCCCACACATAGAAACACATCGACTTACACACACACACATATGGACTCACACACAGAGACATCCACTTTAGATACACACACATGGAGTTAGACACACAAATAGACATACACACATACAGCGAGTCACACACACATACGTAGACTCTCACACATCGACCTAAGCACACATATGCACTTACACACATTGACGAAGACACACATGCACATGGACTTACACACAGACATATGGACTCACATACACATCGACGTAAACACACATATATGGTTAAACCCAGGATGGATCGTTGGCAGGCCAGCCGAAATGTTTGTAACCAGCGAAGATGTTCCATTAGGGGGGTCCACGTTTCGCAAGCCTAGAGAAGGGAGGGAATTACCATGGCCAAGAAGACCTGGAGCTTCATGTGGAGCGAGAGAGCAGGTAGCTTCCACACAGCGTTACGCAGCCGATGAAAATATAATGGTGCTCGACTGATTCGGAGTGATACATCTGCTGTTAAACTGGAGCTGGTCATGACCAAACTGGCCAGGTATGGGAATCTCTCCAATCTTTCCAAAATTGCCCCATCAGCAATTATGAGTTGTGGAGGTGGATTGTCCAATGGTAGAAAATACCCAGGCAGGTGCTTAGTTTTGATGGGGCTGATTGCCACTAAGAGGTGGGGCCTTACCATCAGCCCCACTTCTTAGTGGCAAGCTCCAGGTTCAGCAGCAGTGCCTCCAACTCCTCCTCTGAGTGAGCAGCAATCACCAGAGCATCGGCATACATAACATGGTTGAGCAATAGGGAGCCATCCCTTGACCGCACCCGGGCATCGATCAGCCTCCCATTGTATCTGTACCATATGGTAATTCCTCCGGTACAGCCATTGAAGGCTTCATAAAGTACGTGGTCAAAATATATGTTAAATAATGTGGGAGCCAGAGGACATCCCTGTCGCACTCCAAGGTGTAGAGGGAATGGCTCCGACTCACAGCCACGTAGTTTGATGCGGGGCCACTCACCATCATTAAGGTCCTTAAGGATCGTGAGCAAAGGGTGAGGGACTGCGAAAGCATGAAGAACAACCCACAGGCCTTGACCAGGTAAGTAAAGCACACACGTAGACTCACACGCACACATGGACCTACAGACACGCAAAGAAAATTACTTACACTGACTCACATGGAGCCACAGACACAAAGCGACTAACACACACGCACATGGACTGACACACACACAGACATATACAACAACAAAAACCGCCATTCGCCATTAAGTGGCGGTGACGTCACCACGACGCTTATGCAAGGCCATTTGCACCTTGAGGCCACGTGAAGTGTCGAACACCAGCTGGCAGGAGGTCACGGGGCAGACCCAGGTGGCACTGGTCGACTGACTGAGATAACTGAGATGACTGGCTGATGCACCACCTGTGCCCCCTACTGTGCCAACTTGTGCTTTAGCCACCCAGCGCTCTACTCGTTGTTGTGAGCGTCGCTCCTCCGCCCTCTGTTGTTGTTGAAGGGCGACTGCCTCCAACTGCCCAGTAGCGTCCTTCACGAGCATCTTCCACTGAGCCTGATCTTGACACCCCTGGTAGCAGTCATCGGTAAGTCCACTCAGCTCCACGTCCTCCTGTACTACATCAATACATCTCTTCTCTAGCCCGTGCCGCGCCCATTTAGCCCCCTCGATCCGGCCGAACAAAAGCTGTTTAGGCATGCGGTGGCTGGGCATGCGGGCGACATGACCCAGCCAACGCAGCTTTGCCTGCCAGAGGAGCTCACTGATGGGACTTTGCCCAGATCTTTCAAGGATTTGTGAGCTCCTCACACAATCCAGCCTGGTTAAACCCAGGATGGATCGTAGGCAGGCCAGCCTAAATGTTTCCAACCGGCGAAGATGCTCCATTAGGGGGGTCCACGTTTCGCAAGCGTAGAGAAGGGAGAGAATGACCGTGGCCGAGAAGACCTGAAGCTTCGTGTGGAGCGACAGACCAGGTAGCTTCCACACAGCGTTACGCAACCGATGAAAAGATAATGCCGCTCGACTGATTCGGAGTGAGACCTCTGCTGATAAACTGGAGCCGGTCATGAGCACACTGCCCAGGTATGGGAAACTCTCCACTCTCTCCACAACTGCCCCATCACCGATTGGGAGTTGTGGGGGTGGAGTGTCCGATGGTACAAAATACCCAGGCAGGTGCTTAGTTTTGGTGGGGCTGATGGTAAGGCCCCACCTCTTAGTGGCACTCTCCAGTCTCAGCAGCAGCGTCTCCAACTCCTCTTCTGAATGAGCAGCTATTACCAAATCATCGACATACATAATGTGGTTGACCAATAGGGAGCCATCCCTTGATCGCATCCAGGCATCGATCAGCCTCCCATTATATCTGTACCAAATGGAAATTCCCCCGGTACAGCTATTGAAGGCTTCACGAACTACGCAGTCGAAATAAATGTTAAATAATGTGGGAGCCAGAGGACATCCCTGTCGCACCCCAAGGTGTACAGGGAATGGCTCTGACTCCCGGCCACGTAGTTTTTTTACCCAGACATATGGACTCACACACACAAACACATTAACTTATACACACAACAACAACAACCGCCATTCGCCACTAAGTGGCGGTGACGTCACCACGACGCTTGTGCCAGGCCAAGTGCACCTTGAGGCCACGTGAAGTGTCGAACGCCCGCTGGCAGGAGGTCACGGGGCAGACCCAGGTGCCACGGGTCGACTGACCGAGATGACCGAGATGACTGGCTGAGGCACCACCTGTGCCCCCTACTGTACCAACTTGCTGTGCTTTAGCCACCAGGTGCTCCGCTCGTTGTTGTGAGCGTCGCTCCTCCGCCCTCCGTTGTTGTTGGAGGGTGACTGCCTCCAACTGCCCAGTAGCGTCCTTCACGAGCCTCCTCCACTGAGGCCGATCTTGACACCGCTGGTACCAGTCATCGGCAAGTCCACTCAGCTCCACGTCCTCCTGTACCACATCACTCCATCTCTTCTATAGCCCATGCCGCGCCCATATAGCCCCCTCGATCCGGCCGAACAAAAGCTATTTAGGCATGCGGTGGTTGGGCATGCGGGCTGCATGACCCAGCCAACGCAGCCTTGCCTGCCGGAGGAGCTCACCGATGGGACTTTGCCCAGATCTTTCAAGGATTTGTGAGCTCCTCACACAATCCAGCCTGGTTAAACCCAGGATGGATCGTAGGCAGGCCAGCCTAAATGTTTCCAACCGGCGAAGATGCTCCATTAGGGGGGTCCACGTTTCGCAAGCGTAGAGAAGGGAGGGAATGACCGTGGCCGAGAAGACCTGAAGCTTCGTGCGGAGCGACAGACCAGGTAGCTTCCACACAGCGTTACGCAACCGATGAAAAGATATTGCCGCTCGACTGATTCGGAGTGAGACCTCCACTGCCAAACCGGAGCTGGTCATAAGCACACTGCCCAGGTATGGGAAACTCTCCACTCTCTCCAC